TATCTATCTATCTATCTATCTATCTATCTATCTATCTATCTATCTATTTACATACACATAAAATATTACACTATCAATTATAATAATTGAAAGGAGGTGATCAATAACCATGGACGTTATATAGACTCGCCTCTCTAATAATCTGGCTGCTGCCTGGAGTCACGTGAGGGTTCATCAGTGATGAGTGCTGACGCGCAGCACAGGCTCTGGCAAAACTGGGATGGGATTAACACCTAGCCTCTCTGACTACGACAACAATACTACGACCACTTCCTGTTTCTATAAATAATAAAGACCTCAGCGAGGTGGGCATCACGCCGCACTTTTATTTTGACAGAACAAACAGCTGTACTTCCGGTGCTGTTCTTCTTGCGGAACGGGGAGCTTGACTGAGCTGTTAAAACTGTTGTCCTGATACAAGTGGAGTGAAGGCGCAATTGAAGGGATAACGATATTACGTTCGGCCGCTGTGGGCTAAAGGACAATCCGCCACGGGTAGACTGTGCTGGCTCCGGGGCTGACAGGAGGACTCTCACCGCGGACTCTCACCGCGGACTCTCACCGCCGGGCGTAGATGGCCACAACATTTCCCAAAAGGAGACGCTGCTGCCCGTGATACTACCTGTGTACCAAATGAGACCTGGGAATTGAGACACGCATTTGCAGCAAATCAGACGCATCGGAAGTTTCTGTGAACGTTTTCTGGGTGATTTAGATTAACTGGCTGCAGTCATGGACGAAGACAACCAAGGTATTTTACATTATTCATTCTGTCTTAATTGAAACAGGCGATTTGTATCTATTTGCAACTGCCAGAAAACATTTTCTTCTATGCCAGCTCAAAGATGATACTGATGATAACTGTAATGATAATAGTAATAATAATAATAATGATAATAACAATACTTAATAATAGTGATGACAATAATGATAATAATGATATAATAATAATAATCCAGAAAAAACTGCTTCCTCCACTAAGAGTTGAAACCTTATCACTACTGTTCTGTGTTTGTGTTTCAAATGAAGTTTCAGGCCACCTCATTTGCAGAATTTAATCATGCTGAAATAGATTGACCCAGATTAAGGGTGATGACTGGGAGTCAAACAGGTTATCAGGCGTGAGTGGAGAAGCGTGGATGACTGACAAAGCATCACTGTCTTTATTGGAGACTGTGTTAGTGGACTTGTGTTTATTCAGGGCTTCGTCAGCTGGGGGCTGGTGTCACCCTGGCCCAACAGGTCTTGCCACAGTCGTCCAAGCATAGCCGTGCAAGACGGACTCATTTATTGACTCTGGACAAAAGCTGTGTTTGTTTTCAGAATGGGCTGGCGGGGATGTATCACTGGGACTGGAGCCCTAGACTACATTCACTCCTTCTACAACACTGAGGGCGGTTTGGAAAGTTTGACCTAGTTGGTTTAGGAGGGACAGCAAATTTGTGAAGTTGCTTCAAACTGAACAGTATAAACTGAACTTGCGTTCATAAATATTTGTGCTGTAACGTTTGGTGGCCTATGGACAGCTATGTAAGGATTTGGTTGAGGGGGCCACTGGTCTGTACCTGGTTTACAGCTATTTACTCATGAAACAAACAAGTTACTTCCCTGTCAACATCTGACTCAGTTTAAATGAGCCCATCAGATTCCTGGGGTGACCTCTGCCACTCCTACGGCCTGAATTTATTATCAGAGAACTTAGATGGGCCGAGCCTGTATATCAAAACCTGTGTCAATCGATTCAGATAATTATTAAGACTAAGACTAAGACTAAGCCCAGCAGACTCATCTCACCTCTGTTAGTAACTGGTTGTAGTTTTTTTGTCTCTATATGAGCTCCTTTTGGAACTACAGGATATGGCTAATTGCTGGAGTCCTGCAGGCATGTCACCTGAGCATAAAGCTGACATTGTGCCGTGTCCGGTCTGCCGACCTCCGCCTGTGGCACGCCAGCACAGCCCCGCCGGCATATGTTACAGCAGTGCTGAGTAGGAAAAGCCGACAACGGCCAGGAGCGAACAAACACTTACTCACATGCACTCACAACTGCGGGATAAAACACTAACAAAAAATGAACATTTCTCCTTTTGCCCTCATGGCACTATTTACTGGAGATGGATGGATCATAACCATCAGCGCTAATAGTGTTTAAGCAGTTGGAATGCATAACGTGCTGGATGGTGCTGCAAAGGGAGGCTGCATTGCTCCTATCTTTTTTTCACTCTTTTTCCTTTTTAATCTGTTTATTTCTTTGGAACTGCATCCACAATTTTCTTCCTATTATTTTAACACATTAGCACCTACACATGCCCAGACATGGGCTCCCAGCAGAGGAGAGAGCTGTGGGAGGGAATGTGCAGAATGGGGAGTCTTACTGGCTGGGATTACAGGAACAAATCTGCTCAGGGGGACGCAGGGGGTAGGTGGCAGGTCGGTGGACGAGGTTCCGAACATGACTGTCAGTCCTCGCAGTGCGATGGAAACCCACTTTGCCATGCAATGAGTGGGATGGGAGGGAAGACTGAAATGTGACAGACATAATGAGGTATTGAGAGTCAGAAGCTAAGTGTGATATGGAAGAAGTGACAAGTCCTCTGTGGCCACAGAGAGTGGGGTGTAGTTGTAGCAGCAGTAACAGTAAGACGTCTGAAAGCCAATGAGACGGTGGGACTGGAGATGGCTGTTTGTGTGTGTGTGCCAGAGCAAAGATGAAAAATTGCCAATGATGTATGGAGCTCTGCCAATGAAAGACGGCGAGGGAGAGTGACAATGAACTAGATACTCTTACCGAATCAATTCTGCAGCCTATTACAAGGGTTCCTGCATGTAAAGGTCCTCCATCTCTCTTATAAATAACTCACGGAACAAAAGCATCCGGCAATGGTCACATATCGAACCGGTTCATACTCTTGATGGGGATTATATTCTTTTTCTATGACACATGGTCAATTCTTCTTAACTTGTTCTCTCTGTTAGAAGAATAGTCATAAATCCAAAATCTTCCCAATATTGCTGTCTTAGGGTAAAGTTGCAAAAATGTAAGATGATTGTTTAACGTTGCTCGCAATGCCGCGGGATAAACAGACCTTGAGGGCTCTTTGAGGCTGATCCCTAATGAACCTGTTGCTCCTTGAATTTGCTTGTCGCCTACCAGTCAGGGTGCTTCAACAATGGCTGCAGAGTGGTGCGTGCCACTGAAGTTTTCCTTGTGCATTACTATCCTATTGTGCTGCCTTTTTTCCTGGTAGAGGCAGTGCATCTGTTGTGTTTTTCTGTTTTCTGTCTTCCTCCTGTTTTAGTTGACCCATGTAGGGACCTTCTATGCCGTACTCTACCAGGCTTAGGCCGAACAGGTCTGCGGTAATCTGGGTGACACGTGTGACATTCAGTAGTGGAATGCCTTCTGCCACAATACTCCCTCAGTGAACAATGGGGCACAGGAGCCCACAACGCTTTGTTCCGGTGAAGCCTGTGTGGCTTACTGTAACACATTCTTCTTTTGCATGGCTGACTTTGACAAGTGTCACCCCGCTCTGCTTCCACTGCCTCATTGTACACTTTGCATTAGTTGGCGAGCTGTGTAAGGTGGAGCCTACGTGAATGATGGCCACATGGTATGAATCATGGCATTTATTCTCAACACTGGCTTCGCAGCGGGCCTTGAGATGGTTTATGATTCTGGCCTCAGACGGCTCTATTTACACACTTGTGAAAACCAGCCATTTAAAGTTGGCAGGTCAGCGTGTGAATGTGTGGTTCAGTGTGTGGTCTGTGGGGTTACGGCACAGTGAGGACCAACTCAAGCTAAAAGAGACACAAACGACGTGCTGGATGCAGAGACCTCTGTGCTCTTCGTCTGCCGGCAGCAGGATCGAGCCGGCAGCTTCCTGCTCTGAGCAGGATTTGGGATCTTGGGAGTTGATTCTGCAGCTGCTGTATTCCCTTCACAACAAGTATCCTGCAAAGTGGCTCAAAGAGGAACATCCTAAAGCCATAATGAGAAAGAAAAATGCATTTCATTGTGACTGATTCTTTCCTTTTTATATTTAACCTGTTTTAAGTGGAGTCACTGTTTTACCTACACTGCAGGGATCAAGAGAATTGTTTTATTTTCTTTTGGGGAAGCTAATAGGCTGTGGATGTTTACTTCAAGGCTGAGGACACAGTAAGGGTCTGTGTGCTGCTTGCCCGACTTTAAAAATCTGAGGGCCCTGTAGGATGTCAGGGCGTGGCAGCGGGGCGTGTTGTCAACGTTTAGTGCTCTTCAGAGTTCAGAGAGTTGTGCACAAAGCTAGTGGGGCCCAGACACACTCATGGTTTCATTCTTTTCCAGTGAGTGTGTGCAATTCCAGCTATTTTTCCTTATTTTCATCTCAGCCAGCAGTTTTTGGTCTGAAGTATCTCATGCGTAAAAGTTTTCTAACTTTTTGTTTATTTGACAAATAAACACATTTTCAAATCTACACTTTTGCAGTATATTCTGAATTTTAGATTGAATCCTAACTGACTTTTCTTACTGATCTTTTACATTGAAATGCATCTAGTTGCTGTCTATTCTGCACACATCGTATTTAAGGCATTTCAGAAAAAAAATAATGCTGAAAAATTCAGGGATTTATGGAATTTAACTAACCATTTTTAGACCATATTGAGAATCTATGTTTATAGATACAACTTGATGGCAAAAAGTGGCGAGGAAATGGATTGAAAATCACACTAACCTAAATAAGTGTGGCTTATTCAGTAAGCTTGCTGTATAGAACAGACAACATATTTAAGAGCAGAGCAAAAGCTTAGGTTTGTGTTGACATTTAAATTTATGCATTTAGCAGATGCCTTTATCAGCTTTTTCTGCACAGTATGACTGAAATAGCTCTAAGTGTTCTAAGGGGAAGCTGAAGTTGTTTGATTTATATTGACTCTTGCAGGTTTAGTAGGAGCAACATTTTTTCCCCATGTGTCAGGGACCTGCTTGAATGAGTTTTAATTTTTAAACTAACACAAGAGTTTTTCTTTCGCTCTTACTAGTGTGACTCACCTCCGTTAAAGAGTCTGTGTCTTCCTCTATTTTGGCGGCTGCACTCTTGCTGCTTTCTCAGACTGGTAGCCAAGCATAAAAGGCTCATCATGCCTCAGTAACTACCTCGACAGTCGACCGTGGGGCTAGAAAAGACGCCCGGCCTCCGTTCAAGGCTCAACATTATTGTAACAACTTAAGTATGTGTGTTTCAACTTGGTGGTGAAGGTTGGTGAACACAGAAAGGCCTTGTTGAGTTTACCCTTTCAAGGGTATCAAATACCGCATGCTATTTACCCATGACATCCCCTCTGTGGCTAAAGTGAGGTTCAAGAGTCTTTAAGACCGACTGGCCCATATGGATATCAAATGAATGGATTTAGTCTCCTTCTGTACTTGAGCTACTGCTAACTTTCAAGTGAGCACAAGTCATGTGTAAGTCTGTTTGGACTTCCACTGAACCTTCAAAAAGAGTTTTAAAGAGCTTTTCATAGGTAATTAATTGCAGGATTTAAGTTATGTGTGAACCACAGGAGAAAGGGAACGGCTTAAGGGTTTTCATGGAAATATCCAGTTTCCTCTTCATCTGCCTCTCAGAACTATGCAGCTCAACACAATCTCATATTGGGATCTGTCTTTACAGCATTAAGACACTCAAGGGGCTCATAAAGGGTAGATGTGCAGCAAATCGTGCTATTTTTCTCCTCTCTGGAAAGAGAAGTCCAAGTGTGCTG